AAAAAAAAAAAAACAAACAAGTTTAACGTTAGAAAACTATAAACATCAAAGACAAAGTTACTTAGCATTGGAATAACAACAAAATAGCAAATTTCCTGCTTAAATGTAATAATAAGCATCAGGCTTTATGGGCAGTGTTGTTTTTACATTGAATCGTTTGACTGTTCGCAAATCCAACTCCTAGCTTACGACTTTGTGATTCTGAATAAATTAATTATAATCAGAAGTCAGAGAAAGGACTCTACTCAGCTCTAGATTACTAAATTTGCTTCCATTTTACTTCTGGAAACAACCGAACAACTTTTACAACCTGTTTAACACTCTCAAGTCTCAATTAATTCCATTTAACTTTGATGAGCAAACACAATAAACCCAGATTCTCGGTTACTTTAGATTTTCAAGTTCAATAACACGTTAGTAAAAGCAACAATTATTTTTTAAAAAAAAATCCTAAGTAGTATAGTTGATTGAAACACCAGATTCTGCTAAACTCTCCAGGGTACTTACTCTTCAGATGTTGAAACAGATGCTCGTTAATAAACCGTGCAGTCTCTGGACCACCGTGCCCATCATAAATCCCCACAAAAGTTCCATACGGCCCAGATTCATTCAAGCTCAGGCAACCAGATTCTAGTTGGCTCTGATCCTCAAGTAAATTGTTGGCTTGAACTACCGCCATAGAAAACTCTCCATTAAAATGTTGTCCTGTATCCTTATACCAAAGAAGCCCATCCTGACGACCACCGGCATCCGAACCCGAGTGAACATAACGATCTGCCCTTGGCCGAAAACAGGCCCTCAAAAAGTTCATCAACCCAGATAACATCCCTCATCTCATCCAAAAGACCCTCCAAATTATCCACATGTAGCGAGCCCGCAATTTAACCACCTTCTACGCTGATAGAACTCAATCGTATTAATTTGTATATCTAATCCTCCTGCAAATAACAAATTCTATTCATTGGCGGCTGGCAACACAACCCAAAGTCATCAAAAGTAAGAGTTTAAACCACAAACAACGTTACAAAACTAAAAGCAAGATCAACAAGAAATAAGCACTTCAAATGTGAATCAGATCTTTGACCAATAACCCAAAAACGAAAACAAAAACAGTGAAGAAGGGCAAAAAATATCAGTTAAAACCATAAAATTCAACACAAGGGAAAAGGGGTTCTCGGGAGGCTTTCAAAACAGAGAATGGGTCAAAAACCCACCTTTTTTACCTCTCAAAACTGTTTGGTCAGCCAGTTCACATTCTAGAAGGCCCAAGTTCCCAAAATCATAGATGAAGGCTGCGGGCGAGATAAACCCCCTAAAAACCCTCCTCAATTTTTTATCACATAAACCCTCACAAGCAAATTCAACAACTGACTACATAAATTTCTTTAGTCAATGGCAGTTACCTCCAGAGCTGATTGTGGAAAACGGAGATCTGAAAGCGAAAATGGTTCAGATCTGAAATAACAATTCGAAACGGAGCCAAATAAAGGAACAGTTGATGTAAGCTTTTTCTTCCTTGAGAGCAACAGGTTGAACGAGAAGATGATGTTGATTTCGATGAGGTGATTGGTGAAGGAAAACAATTAGGGGGAAATTGAAAAATCGCAAAATCGCAATAACAATATAGAAAGAGAAAGGTAGAGGAGAGAGAAGAAGAGGCAGATAAACAGAGAGAAGATATTACTCTTTTGCTGTAAAAAATTACTCTGTGTGTGTGTGTGTGTGTGATTAGGGGCAGCTGCTCTCATCTCTTTAGACAAAACCCCATTAAAATAACCAACAATGGCGAGCTTCGAGCCAGCAAAGCAGAGGACCAGTTTTGGGCTCCACACACTTTTTCTAGAGAGAGAGAGTGAGAAGAGGAGAGAGAAGACACGTACAGAAAAAAACAGAAAAAAAAGAAAAATATGAAAAGGGGATAAAATGAAAACACACAAAACGCGCACACATACCGTTGAGCAAAAGAGTCAATGGGCGGGGATAAAGATATACTCCCTCCTATTCATAATAAGTGTCGATTTGAGAAGTTGCATGGATTTTCCATGTTGCTAGCGCGTGTGAGTGTCGCATGGAACTTTGTTTTTTTGTGAGTTTCGATCGAATTCAAATTGTAAGAGGGTGATTGTTTATAAATTCAACTAGTATTTATTTGATTTGTTTTTTTAACTATAGTTAATTTTGACAAAAATGTGGTATGATTAGTTGTTAGTGGATATATTAAAATAATATTTAAATAAAATAATTAAAATTGATTTGATGTAAAGTAGGAGAAAAATGAGTAGAAGTGATAGTTAGTTAAAATTATGTGAGTGGTTGAATAGTGAATTAAAGTTGATGTGATGTGTAAGAATGATTGATTGATATTATTTAATTCGTTAATGGATCGAGTTTTACTAACTTTAAGCTAGTTAGGCTTCAAACACATTAATCTTTACGTAATTTACAAAACTTTTAGTATAATTTAGCTCGATTCGAGTTTAAGCCCCATATGGTTTCGTTTAGTTAACTTAACAATTCAGCTTGATAAGGACTCAAGTGTATTTTTCATACATTGAAGACTGATGAAGGCTCAAAGAAAGGTTCAGAAGAAAAGTTTGGCTCGACACATTTACAGTTCTATTGGGAGGTGAAATAACTTTTTGTTCATTTTCGACTCGTTAGTCTACATCTCAACTTGATAAATGTTCGAGCATGAACTCGAGTATCAGGAGTTATAGCTCGTCTCGAAGTTAACAATTTTAATGTGACCGCAGAAATATTTTTTTCTTTATCACTTATTGTAATGAGACTGATCCAATGCATCACACCATAATGAAAATCATGACATATGGAATAAGTGATGGGATTAAAAAGCATCTAGTGTTTGCATTTCATGATAGTTAAATAATAATAATTTTACAAAAAGTATACCATTCATAATATAACTACGTTAATGTTCTAAAATTATAGTATATGATACTAACTGCAAATATGTATAATTTAAATAAATTTGAATTACACGATACTTATCGTATGTTATAAATTTTAATCAATATGGATTTTTTCAATAAAATTAATAAATTAAGGGCCTTTAAATTATTATTATTGTTCTGTGATTGGATGGCAAATGTAGCGTATTGATTTGGTCTATTTCATGTTGCACGTGGCAGTGTTGCAGCCCAATTGCACAAAATCAATATCAGCCATCTCATCTATTTTTTTCAAAAATTACATCCAACATATAGGGACTGAGGTGATATAAATTTTTGGTCTCGTCAAAAAATAGCAAAAAAACAAAAAGAAAAAAGCAGAATATATTTTTAAAAAAAATATATATTTTGATATAATAAATAAATGTGAGATAATGTTAAGATTTGAAATAATTTTATAAATCATAAAATAACAATTAAAATTGATTGATTGTCAGAAAATATGTAGAGTTAAATTATGTGAAGGTACATTTTTTAGAGTTAAATTCTGATGTGATATAATACCAATGGATTTTAGTATTTATCCAAAATCCAAAGTATTATAAAGTGTTAAATTAATCCAAAATCCAATGTATAAAATAAAAATTGCAATATAAATTAGACAGCTACTAAAAAAAAAATAGCAGTTTTTATTCTATATATTTTCATTTATGTATTTATTTATTGGGGAAAAATGACAGCTACCAAAATTATTTCCCTTTTGTCACTTTATATAATTAGACTTTCCTCATGTGTTAAGATTGCAGGTCGAAAAAGGGCAAACCATGCATATAAGCTTTGAATGCTTCAAGGATATATCAGCCTAACACTCGTATTTACTAGAGTTCAACAAAAAATATATTACATAAAACTGATTCAAATTTAACCTAATCAAGTTGAGAGAAATGCTACAGTTACGGAACTATTGAAATTTGTAACTGTTAGATTAACATGTAACCGTCGTAGATAGTTGATCTAACGGTTACAAACCTCGACGGAATAGTTCCGTAACGAAACCGTATAATCTCTAAAACCAAGCAAATAAATTTTTTTATTTTTTTTTCTGCATGAAACCTCCCCAAGAACACGTACACAAAAATAATTAATAATGAATTTTGGCACGACATATCAAAAATCATGCAACTTGCTATTTTATGTATTTTATTTCAATTTTTTTCTCCCGAGTATGAACGGATGGTTTGAATAGAAACAGTGTTATTCACTGTGTAATTATAAGTTAGTCAAATGTACTTTTCATTATTATAAACATTAATTGGAAAAAAAAAAAAAAAAGTGGATTATAAAAGGCAAAACAAGATATGTACCCTTACCTAACAAGTGTATTTCAGCAAGTCCAACTAAGGGAGGCCAACCTCCTCACTTTAGGACATGATTGGTTACAAAAATATCCGTTCAAAACGAGTTTTTCTGATTAATCATAATTATTTTTTTTTTTAAAAAAAATGACTATATAATTAATTGTTAGTAGAATTTTAAGTTTATACTAATATCTAAAATAAAATAATTATAGCTGAATTATTCATGTAAAAGTATGAGATATACGATGATGTGGAGAAATTAATATTTAGTTCAAATTATGTCAGTTGATAAATAATAAATTAAAACTAATGTGATGTGTAAGAATTATTTAATGATATTATTTAGGGAAAACTACACTTAACCCACCTGACTATATAGTTTTTTGCATTTTACCCACTCAACTTTTTTTCGTGACACTTTGCCCATATAACATTCTAAATAATTGCACTTAACCAATTTCCGGTCATCGTCCGGCAATTTCTAAGGGCAAAGTGTAAATTTAAAAAAAAAAAGTTGAGTGGATAAAGTGCAAAAAAACGTATAGGTGGGTGGGTAAACTGTAAATTTTTCAATGACAATTAACTTAATGAATGATAGAATTTTGCCCTTATAAATTCCCCACGGTGATCGAAAATTGGTTAAGTACATTTTTTCGTAAAGTTATATGGGTGAAGTATCACGAAAATAAAGTTGAGTGTTAAAGTGCAAAAAACCCTATAACTGGTGGGTTAAATGTAATTTTTCCTATTATTTAATTATATTGATAATATTGAGAATATCAGAACTTAGTTAAAGTTAAATTAAATTTTGGAAATAGATTGATATAAGAACACAACATGATAGCATAGTTGCCGCACTCCTAATCACATTTAATTAATTAATTTCATTCATTGTATTTTTCTTTTTTATTATTGCAGTTATTTGTTTTTTTATTTAATTTATTATGGAAACTGAAATATGAAAGAGGCTACAAATGTGGATTCAATTATTTTATTAATATCAACTGTTACTTGAGAAGAATTTCAATTTTGATTTGTCTTTGTATATATGGGCATTGTTCATAGTAATAAAAAGGCTGGACTGTATTTATTTAAGGGTAAATTGCACCAAACTCCCCTGTGTTTAACGAAATGTGCGCGTTTCCCCACTGTGTTTTAAAAACTGCACCAGACCCCCTTGTGTTTAAGTAACCGATGCACACGTTCCCTTTTTTCAATCTCCAGTTAACGGTGTTAATTTTTTTTACAGAAACCCCGTTATAACCTTCGAATATTATATATATATTTATAATAAATTGAATTTCTCACGATATATTGAATATATCGCGAGAAATTAAATTTAAAAAAAATGTTGTCTCATGGAATTGAACCTGTGACCTCCTAAAGAGCATGGCAAGCAACCAACCACTACACCACTCAAGCTTTAGTGCTAGACGTGGTAAAGTTAAATATACTTGGACATTACAAATGAATAAATGAAATTTAATTTAAAAGATAATGTAAATTATATTAAATTAAATTATTAAAATATAAACATATAAGAAACAAAAATATAAAAA